ATTTGCCAAGAAAATGGCGTGATAAATATGTTCAAATAAAGATAACAATAAGATAAATATAGAAAAATAGATAATATAAGAAAGAAAAAGAAGAAAATAGAAAGAAGTAGAAGGGAGTAAAATATTATTGAACCAATCACGTAGTCTAAATATCATTATAACTAATTTTATCGTGCTGCATCTTTTATTTACGTGTTCTTTTGAAATTATAGTTGATATCGAATCGGTGACAATATTCACTATTACATATTTATAAATATCATTTTTCTCTTAATTTATTCTTAAATAATTTGTTGATATTCTTACTATTTTACCTTTCATTATCTTTTCAATATGCATTTATTTTCAAAAGTGCAGTAATATCTTTTTTATTATTTTTATTTTTATTTTTTATATTTTATAATTTTTTTTTATTATCATCCAATAATAATAATCGATATTTTTATTTAATTATTTTTTATTTTTATTGTATCATTTTAATTTAAATTCTATCATCATTTATTTAATCAATTAATTTATAGTAATTTTATATTAATTTATATTTTAAATCTTATTTTAATCTTTTATTATATTAATTTAATTAATGACATATAGATTTTACACAAATCCCTTTTTAATATTACACAATAGTTATCATGTTCCAACATATTGTAGATTTATATTTTTATTGATTTCACTTTGTAATTTATATATATAAATAACATATAGATTAGCATAACTCAATTTCACTATATATATAATATAATAATTAACTTGAAATAAACTAAGAAGATTATATCCTGATTTGTTTTTTTATTATTTTTCTTTTATTTTCTCTTTATTTATCTTTGTGTTTGTTTCAGTCTAGTCTCAATTATCATCATATTGCCTTTATTTTTTATAATTATACTTTTAACTTTGATTTATATTATATATTTAATTTTAATATCATTTTAAATACATTCAATATTCACTTTAAATCTAAATTCTTGTTAAATTATTATCATTAATCATCCACTATTATCAATTATATTATTCTTATTTAAAATCTGCTATAAACACAGTTGCTGTTAATTATTTTTAAATATTCTTATATGTAAAAACTAGAAATAGTAGCAATATACACATTTAATAGTTATATTATAAATATTAAACCTTTTGAAATAATTGTTAAATAAATATTAGCAATATTATATTTTTCTTTTATCAATTTAGTTTTATGTTTCTTAAATGAATTCATAACAAGTAAAGATGTTAATTTGTTTATTCCAGGTCATTTATTTCAAATTTGTTTTATTTACTTATTCATTTATCCAAGCTTTTTCATGCATGTAAATAATAATTTCTAATGAAAAATTTGTACATTTTTAAAAATTATCATAGAAGAAAGTTTTCTACCATTAGCTATAATAGCTAAAATATATATAAATCAGTTTTTATTATTACTAGTTGTTCGAATTTGAATAATTTTTGTTCTTTTTATATCAACTGTAATAGGATTAATCATGTTAAAATAAATAAATGTTTTGTTCATGTTAACAATTTGAGAAAAATTATATTGATATTTTAATTGTAATTGAATTACAAATTGTTGAAATTGAATAATTTTTTTATTGAGATTACTAGGTAATTTTTGATTGGCTTTAGTTTGATGTCAAAGAGAAAGATTATGTTATTTTAAAAATTGATAGAACCAGAATCTTGAAGCATGAAATTGATTAAAAGCATCTGGATAATAACTTGCACAAGTTGTTTTTAAAATTATAGTTATTTGTGTTTTAATAGCTGTTGTAATTATAGCAATTTCAATAAGATAAAGTTCATATATCCATTTAATAAGTTCTTCAGCAACTGATATGTTGCAATTTTTCTGGAATCAACATGTCAATTTTTTGATGTTGCATTACTAAATTTTTTTGCTTGAGCTGTTCATTGTTTGTCAATGCCGAATTTATATGTCGCAGCTAAAATTCTGATTTTTTTAGCTTCATGAATAACAAATAGTTTTTTGGATGTTTTATATGACATTCTTTGTATATGAGTTTTGATTTTAGATTTTTTTATAAAAATATTATTTATTTTTAATTATTTGTTAATATGTGTACTGTATACAATTACTTTCTTTATAGTGAATTACCATATCAATTTGGATATTCAGAATTATGTGATGCTTTTTGCATATAGCAAAATTCGCATAAGTTTGATTTGAATTGATTTGATTATTACACAATATGTGTCGCAAAAGAAAGCACACAAAATTTAAGTGACTTTATTAAAAATGGGGTTATTCAATAAATATATTTTAGCTAATCACAAACTTCTATAATCATATACATTTATTTATTTGTCCTTTTCTAAGTTATTATATTTATTGAATATTATTTTTTTATTAAGCTATAATAATTATAATTAAAATTTTACAAATTTATATTTTGTTATAAATTAATTTCTTAAATCATATATTTGAAAATAAAATGAAGATAATCGGTTTAACCGGAGGTATCGCATCTGGTAGTTAATAAATCTCTTATATTTGAGTTCATGGTGTGAAAAGAAATTATGCTCGCAAAAGACACAATTTAGTTTTGACCTTTTTTCATATGACCTTTTTATAAAATGGCGACGACGATTTAACATTAATTTATATATAAAATAAATTGGCGACATGACGATACACATTTTCAGGAAAATCAACAGTTTCCCGAATGATAGAACGCCTTCAGATACCACTAATAGATGCGGACAAAATAGCTCGAGAAGTAGTCGAGCCCGGGAAACCCGCTTACAAGCAAATAATAAAGCACTTTTCGCGTGATATATTACTAGAGGATAACACAATCGACCGAGTGAAACTGGGAAACATTATATTTGCAAACGAATCGAAACGGAAAGTTCTGAATAGATGCACGCATCCGTATATTCATCTGACAATAGTTAAATCGTTGATGTGGTATTGGTTGATTGGGGAACGAATGACGGTGTTGGACGTGCCGTTGTTGATTGAAGGTGGATTTCATAAATATTTGAGTGCTGTTATTGTTGTATATTGGTAAGAATGAATTATTTCATTGATTTGATTGGGAAGGTGCTAGCAGCTTATTGATGGTGGTTGCTCCTTTATTTCTCTCGTTTAAATCGAGAGTTATTTGTCAAAGATTTGTGTGCGTATTATCATTATTACCATCACCATCACCATTATCACTTATTACACAATCGAAAAAAAAACACATATAACCACTACTAATAACAAATAGTGACCCTCGTCATCCACGTAGTTCCGAACAGTTACAACTAACACGTCTTATAAAGCGAGATAATCTATCAGAGCATGCGGCACGACAAAGAATGGCCGTCCAAATACCACTAAGCGAAAAAGTGAACTACGCCGACTATGTCATTGATAATTCAGGCGAACTGCAAGAAACGGAGCGACAGGTGATTCGAGTGATGAAAAAAGTTCGGCCAAAGTTATGGAATTGGTTGGCTGCTTGGGTGGGACCGCCGGTCGCATTTGGAGTTATTGCCATGGCGCTTTTTCCAAAGTGATACAATGTTAATTGTTATTGTTGATGCTATTTTTCTTTTGTTTTTTTTTTTAATGTAATAATGTATATAATATAGTCATCCCTCTATATAGTCACCTCACATATACACATCTTAGTAAATTCACACTATCATTACTTAGGAAACAGTAAAGAAAACCTCTATACAGTCACAACCTCTTTTTAATCGATCACGCTTGAAAATAATGCATTTGTGTGCTTATGGTGGGTTAATTGTATAATAAAATGCATTTGATCTTTATATAGACATCGAAATAATTTGCTAACAAATCAACTATTCTTTTGGTTAATATTAGACAACATGATATAAAACAAAGAACCAGTTATAAAGAAAATCATCTTTTTATAGTAATATTCATAATAAAATCCTATACTTTTGCGAAAAAAATTATTGGATCCAATAGTATAATTAGAAAAAGTGATAAATTATTAATTAGAATATTTGGTATAAATAATATTGATACAATTTTTGACAAAAATCGGTTCTGTTTATTTTGAATAAATTATTGTTATTAAAATATTATATATCATTATTATTTTAATAGTTTTATTCTTTTATGAATATGTCACATAAGATATGTAATATTAAGTCAGATAAAAGATAATTAATACTGTTTCAAAAATAGATAACATATATTCATGTTGTGAACAGTTAAAATGAGCTCCAAAATCTTCTTTCAACAAAATATTTATATTTATATTTATGATTTTTATTATTAATAATTTAATTTATTAAATTAATTCAATATTAGTGTTCCTATGAACTGAACCAAACCGGACTTTGGCTTGAGTTCAAGAAAGATTCGAAGTTCGAACTGAACTCGAACTGAATCATTATACGAGTTCGAGTCTGGTTCGAGTTCAATTAAAGCTCGGCATATAGTATCATAAACCGATTTGTAGCTCTAAATATAAGCTACAACTTTACATATAAGCACAATTTATGGTATTTAGTAAGAATTAAAAGTTTACATAGTGATAACTAAAGTATTTTTATTTTTACGTTTATTAAATT